ACACACGAACACAGAAAACACAAAATAAGGAAAAGGCAGACTGATTAACATAATGAGTAAGTTCTAGTCATCAAATGACAACACTAAGAGCAAAAAAACACCAAGCAGAATGGGAGAAAATATGTGCAAAACGCTTATTTCTGAAATACAGAAAGAACTCTTTATAATCCAGTCTCAAAAGCAAAAAGTCAACACAATTAAAGAAAGATTTGGAAAGGCACTTCACAGAGTAAGATATCAGTATCCAATAACCATAAGAAAAGGTGTTCCGTCTTATTCATTAAAGGATATGCCAATTAGACCAAAATTAGGTATCACCACATACTTACCAGAATGGTTAAAATATGAAAGACTTGACCAAGTATTGGCAAAAATATAGAGTAACTGGAATACTCATATCCTGCTGCTAAAATATAAATTGACACAAACTTTTGGAAAACACAGCTGACCCTTGAACAATATGGAGGCTCGGGCGCCAATCCTTGGGCAGTTGAAAATCTAAGTATAACTTTTGGCTCCCCAAAAACTTAACTACTAACAGCCTACTGTTGACTGGAACCTTTAATAATAATATAGACAATAAATTAACACATATTTTGCATGCTTATGTACTGCATTCTTACAATAAACTAGAGAACACAAAATATTAAGGAAAACACCTTTTTAGTAATGTACTGTATTTATCAATACCCTAAATTCATGTTGTTGTCTGTCTGAAATGGCAGCCAACAGCAGGTGCAGACCTCATTCTACTGTACTTATAAAACAATTCAACTTTTTCTTGTAATGTCATGACTTTTCTCTGGTTCTCGAGAGCAGTCCTAGCATCACTAGTGGTACTTTCCATAGGCCCGATGGTGTTATTCAAGGTTTACAGGATTTTACTAAACATGATAAAAAACACATAAGAACTAAGATAGATCACATTTTCTATGCTATGCAATTTACTGGAGAGACAAACTGCTCACACAGAGATGATTAGCATCATGGGGAGGTTTAAGCCAATACTTGCAACACGTGAGCCTACTGCAACAGCAACAAGAGGTGTTTTAAATTATTATAGTAGTATAGTAGGTACACTGTGTGCTACAGTTTATTTTACACAGTTATGATTTAGTACTGCATATTTACATTTGTCTACATTACCCTCATCTGCAAATGGTGCCATGTATGGTAAGTATTTGTGTACATTTTGATAAGTTTTAACTTTTTATGACAGATTTATATACATCTTATGGTAATAAGTGATAAAATACACTAGTATCTATATATATTTTATGCATGACATACCTAACTTTTTCTTAATTTTTTCAATATTTCTAGGCTACGTGGTTTGAGATTTGAAAAATTACCCAAAATCATCTAAAAATTTTCCAAAATATTTTTTGGAAAAAAATCCATATATAAGTGGACCCAAGCAGTTTAAGCCTATGTTTTTCAAGGATCAACTGTATTTACTGAAGTTGAGCTTTGACCCTGCAACTAACTCCAAAAATTGAAATTTACACATATACGTACTAAAAGGCATGCACAAGACTGTTCACAGAGAAATTATTCATTATGGCCCCAAACTGAAAACACTACATTTCTCCAACAAATATAAATTGTGCTATATTTATAAAGTATTATACAGCAATGAAAATAAATTACTGCTATACGCAATTATTAATAAATCTCACAAATATACTGATGAATAAATCTCACAAATACATTGAATAGAGGAAATCATACACAAAGGACTACATATGAAATGATGCTATTTATAAACTAACAAGCAGGGAAAACTACTCTGAAGTCAGGAACGTCATCATCTTTGTGGAAGAAAGGAAATAGTGAGTGGCAGAAAGCATGGTTTCTGGATTCTAGTCATTGATCTACGCAATGGTTAACTTGCACCACCTGTGATAGTTCGCTGAGCTGCATCTCTATACACGCATACCTCAGAGATATTCCAAGTTCAGGTCCAGGCTACCACAATAAAGTTAATACTGTAAAAAAATGAGCCACACAAATTTTTTGGTTTCCCAGTACTTATAAATGTTATGTTTACAAGTCAGGCGCAGTAGCTCACACCTATAATCCCAGCACTTTAGGAGGCCGAGTTGGGCGGATCACTTGAGGCCAGGAGTTTGAGACCAGCTTGGCCAACACGGTGAAACCTCATCTCTACCGAAATTACAAAAATCAGCAGGGCGTGATTGCACTTGCCTATAATCTCAGCTTCTCAGGAGGCTGAGACATAAGAATCTCTTGAACCCAGGAGGCAGAGGCTGCAGTGAGCCAAGATCATGCCACTTGCACTGTAGCCTGGATGACAGAGAGTGACTGTCTCAAAAAAAAAATTAAAAAAATTTTTAAAGCTATGTTTACATTATAGCTTAGTTTAAGTGTGTGATAGCATTATGTCCAAAAAACAATGTACATACTTAATTTTAAAAATATTTTATTGTTAAAAAGTATTAACAACCATCTGAGTCTTTCAATAAATCATAATCTTTCTGTTGGTAGAGGGTCTTGCCTCCATGTTAGTGGCTGCTGACTCACTGGGGTGGTGGCTGGTAAAGGTTGGGGTGTCTATGACAATTTCCTAAAATAAGACAATAATGAAGTTTGATGCATTAACTCTTCCTTTCACAAAAGATTTCTCTGAGGCATGTGATGCTGCTTGATAGCATTTTACCCTCTCCAACCCTGCTAGTTCCTTTATCAGTGAAGCTTATAGAATATTCTCAATCCTTTGTTGTCATTTCAACAACTTTCACAGCATCTTCACCAGGAAGAGATTCCATCTCAAGAACACTTTCTTTGTTCACCCATAAGAAACAACTCCTTATCTCTTCAAGTTTGACCATGAGATTGCAGCAATTCAGTCACATCTTCAGGCTCCACTTCTAATTCTAGCTCTCTTGCTATTGACACTGTATCTGCAGTTATTTCCTCCAACGAAATCTTGAACCCGTCAAAGTCATCCACAAGGATTAGAATAAACTTCTTCTAATCTCCTGTTAATGTTGATATTTTGACCTCCTCCCATCAATCATGAATTGCATGATTTATAATGGCATCTAGAATGGTAAATCCTTCCCAGAAAGTTTTCAATTTACTTTGCCCAGATCCATCAGAGGAATCACTCTCTATGGCAACTATAGCCTTATCAAATATATGTCTTAAATAATAAAACTGAAATTGGAAGGGCTCCTTGATTCATAGGCTGCAGAATGGCTGTTGTGGTAGTGGGCATATAGATAATGCTCATCTCCTTGCATATCTCCCTTAGTGTTCTTGGGTGACTAGGTACACTGTCGATCAGCAGTAACATTTTGAAAAAAATATTTTTTTTTAGCAATAGGTCTCAACAGCGGGCTTCAGTAAACCATGCCGTAAACAGATGTGCTGTCGTCCAGGCTTTATTGTTCCATGTATAGAGCACAGATACAATGGATTTAGCACAATTCTTAAGTACCCTAGGATTTTCAGAATGATAAATAAGCACTGGCTTCAACTTAAAGTTACCAGTTGCATTAGTCCCTAACAAGAAAGTCAGCCTGTCTTTTGAAGCTTTGAAGCCAGGCATGAACTTCTTCCCCTCTCTAGCCATGAAAGTCCCAGATGGCATCTTTTTCCAGTAGAAAGCTGTTTCATTACGTTGAAAAATCTGTTGGCTGGTGTAGCCACCTTCATCAATGATCTTGGCTAGATCCTCTGGATATCTTGCTGCAGCTTCTCCATCAGCACTTGCTGCTGCACACTGCACTTTTATGTTATGGAGACAGCTGCTTTCCTTAAGCCTAATGAACTAACCTCTGCTAGCTTCCAACTTTTCTTCTGCAGCTTCCTCACTTATCTTGGCCTTCTTAGAATGAAGAGAGATAGGGCATTGCTCTGGATTAGGCTTTGGCTCAAGGGAATGTTGTGGCTGATTTGATCTTCTATCCAGACCACTCAAACTTTCTCCATATCAGCAATAAGGTTGTTTTGCTTGCTTATCTTTGATGTATTCACTGGAATAGCACTTTTAATTTCCTTCAAGAATGTGCCCTTTGCATGTGCAACTTAGCTAACTGTTTGGTGCAAGAGGCCTAGCTTTTGGCCTGTCTTGGCTTTCAACCATGCCTTCCTCACCAAGTTTAACCATTTTTATGTAAAGTGACACACATGCAACTCTGCCTTTCACTTGAACACCTGGAAGCCACGGTAGGGTTATTAATTGACCTAATTTCAATACTGCTGTGTCTTAGGGAGTAGGGAGACCAGAGGAGACAGAAAGAGACTAGAGAATGATTGATTAGTGGAGCAGGCAGAATATACATAATATTTACCAATTAAGTTTGCTGTCTTGTACGGGTGCACTTCACGGTACCCCAAATAATTATAATAGAAACGTCAGAGGTCGCTTATCAGAGATCACCATACCAGATGTTAAAATAATGAAAAGTTTGAAATACCACAAGAATTACCAAAATGTTATATAGAGACACAAAGGAAGGAGATGCTTTTGGAAAAATGGTGCCTGTAAACTTGCTCAACTCATAGCTGCCACAAACCCTCAATTTGTTAACAAAAAAAAAAAAAAAAAAAAAAAAACCCCGCCGGGCACAGTGGCTCACGCGTGTAATCCCAGCAGTTTGGGAGGCCAAGGTGGGCAGATCATGAGGTCAGGAGATCGAGACCATCCTGGCTAACACAGTGAAACCTCATCTCTACTAAAAACACAAAAAATTAGCGCGGGCGCCTGTAGCCCCAGCTACTTGGGAGGTTGAGGCAGAAGAATAGCATGAACCCAGGAGGCGGAGCTTGCAGTGAGCTGAGATCGCACCACTGCACTCCAGCCTGGGTGACAGAGCGAGACTCCATCTCAAAAACAAAACAAAACAACAGTATTTGTGAAGTGCAATAAAACAAAGCACTATATTGTGAGCTACTCCTGTATTTTAACCCTATATTTTATGTGCTTTTCTATAAATGTTTTACTCAAAACAAGTTTTATAAAGTTTATTTACCTGTTTTTTCTGTGTTCGGTTCCTGTTTTCCAACCAATCATCCATTTGTTCCTCAATTTCTTCTATGGAAGTTCCATGATCATAAGACTGAATATATGTACTTTCTAAAGGTGTGTATACAGGAAATTCAGGTTTGGGTTTTTTAACTTTCTTCTGTTCTAAAAAATGTTTAAAAGAACCAATTATTGAGATTTTTAAAGAATAAAATTAATTTCTAACATTTTATTCATAGTCCATATCCTGAAAGAAAATATCAAAATATAATTGTTCTGTTATAAATAATTAGCTATAAGTATTATTGTACATAAACCATTGCACTGTTTCTAAACAAAACTCAGAGCTGCTACTATTGTGGAGACGATCATGAGATAGCCATCATATCAATTTGCATTGATACAAACACCTTTGTTTTCAAAGTACTTTTCACAAAATATTTCATTTTGGCACAATAAAAAGAGCTTCAATTTAATGTTGTAATCCTAACTTTACCATGCAATAGTTAAATAATACTGGGCAAATAACTTAACACTTAGAACAGCATCAACTTTCTCATCTATAAAAAAAACTGGCTCTCACTAAATGGTATACATTTATTTTTCAATATTTTACAAAGGTGAAATATGATCTGGCAACAGTAGTTATGAACAGATGGCAATCCATTGGGCTCTTTATTAAATCCCATTTTGGGCCTGGGAGCAGTAACTCACAACTGTAATCCCAGCACTTTGGGAGGCCAAGGCAGATGCATCACTGGAGGCCAGGATTTTGAGACCAGCCTGGGCAAAATGGGAAAACGCTTCTTCTACTAAAAATGCAAAATTAGCTGGGTGTGGTGGCACATGCATGTAATTCCAACTACTTGGGAAGCTGAGGCATGAGAATCACTTGAGCCCAGGAGGTGGTGGGTGGGGTTAGCCGAGATCACACCACTGCATTCCAGCCTGGGTGACAGAGTGAGATTCTGTCACACACACACACACACACACCATTTTAATTGGAGACTTGACACTGAGAAGCAACTCTATTCTTAATTACTATAGTCAAACTCAAACAGCCTTATAAGAGTATTTTCACCACCCTGTGTGTATGTGTGTATATGCATGTACTTAACTGCCAATGTAACAAAATCAATATATACTGGCATAGGAATAGATGAATTCCTACAAGAGAATAGAGAATCTGTAAATACCAATGCTTGTTGACTTATTATGGGATTACATCCTGATAAACTTACCATATATTGAAAACATCCTTAATTTGAAAATGCATTTAATAAAACTAACATCATGGCTTAGTCTAGCCTACCTTAAGTGTACTCAGAACATTTACATTACCTTACAGTTGGGCAAAATAACATAGTGACACAGTACACCATAGGGGATCAGTTTTAACCCTCATGATCATATGGCTAAGTGGACACTGCAGTCTGCTGCTGTTACACAACATTATGAGGGAGTATCCTACCGCATATTGCCAGTCCAGTAAAAGATTCAAAATTCAAAGTACAGTATTGTTTTTGCACTATCATAAAGTCAAAAAATTGTAAGTCAAATCATTATAAGTCTAGGATTGTCTGCATTTCAATTTAGTGGGAAAACAATTTAATTAGTAATGCTTACACAACTGAATATCCATTTAAAAGAAAATTGGACATACTCTTACACTGTATATACAAATAAATTCCAGATAGATAAGAGAGTTGACTTTAAAAGCCAAAACAATAAAAATTTTGCAAAAAGAAATCTTAAAAACTACATATACTATTTAAAGGAAGGAGACGTCTTAATTAAGAATGAAAACCCAGATGCTATTACAAAAAAGATAAAAGAGTAAACAAATCAAGAGACAAATAATAGATTTGAAAAGGATGTATCCAATTCAGAGTATAAACAGAAGGTTGCTATAAAGAGATTTTATAAATGGACAAGGGGATAAGCAATCCAATAGAAAAATATAGGCAAAGGTCATAAATGGGCAATCCACAATTGAGCAAATCCACATGGCCAAGAAATAAGAAAACAGGCTCATACACTCTAAAGGTTAAAGAAATACAAATTAAGTAATACCAAGATATAATTTTATACCAATCATATGGGTACAAATTTAAAATCTAATTCAGATGTGCTGTTGGCAGGGAAAAGGCTACTTTTAAATTGGTGGAGGAAAGGTGAATTATTCTATTACAGCCTTTCTGGAAAGCAGTCTAAACGTATCTATTAAAATTAAAATATACAGCCTTTTCCCCAGCAATTCTCCCAGAAACAAAAGTACTCAAATATAACTGCATGTGGGTATGTATGTGTTTGAGTGTGTGTATGACTATTTACTGTTTCTTCATAGAGAGGTGAAACTATTAACACAGTAAATGCTATTAGGAGAAATGACTGAATAATTATTGATAATGCTTTTACACTGAAAGGTATGAAATCACCATTGAAGTTGAGCAATAGCAGAACTAATTTGGGCTACATATAGAGAAGCAGTTATTTTTTAAAAAAGCAAATAAATTCAGTTGTTTGTATTTATTTCTGGGGTGTTTCATTACAATTGCAAGTGATGTCTTTTTAAATAAGCATTTACAAAGGAGCACTAAATACAGAAATGAAAGACTGCTACAAGCTAATACAAAAATACACAAACCAGTGTCACTATAAATTAACCACACAAACAAGTCAACATAATAACCAGCTAATAATACAATGACAGGATCAAATCCACACATATCAATACTAACCCTGAATGTAAATGTGCTAAATGTCCTACTTAAAAGTCACAGAGAGTGACAAGCCAGATAAAAAAACAAGACTCAATGGTATGCTGCCTTCAAGAGACCCATCTCACAAGTAGTGATACCCTTAGGCTCAAAATAAAGAAATGAAGGGAAAACTACCAAGCAAATGGAAAACAGGAAAAAGCAGGGGTTGCAATCCTAATTAAAGATTAAAGCAGGTTTTTAGAGACTTAAAAAGAGACAAAGACTCACCCACATTAATAGTGGAAGACTTCAACCCTCCATTGACAGTATTAGACACATCACTGAGGCAGAAAATTAACAAAGATATTCAGGACTCAAAATCAACAGTGAACCAAATGCATCTGATAGATCTCTACAGAACTTTCCACCCCAAAACAACAGAATATACATTCTTCTCCTTGCTACATGGCACATACTCTAAAATTGATCACATAATTGAACATTAAACTGTCCTCAGCAAATGCAAAAGAACCAAAACCACACTAAACACACTCTCGAACCACAGTGCAATAAAAACAGAAGTTAAGACTAAGAAACTTGCTCAAAAGAATGCAATTACATGGAAATTAAATGACATACTACTGAATGACTTTTAGATAAATCATGAAATAAAGGCAGAAATCAAGAAGTTACTTGAAACTAATGAAACCAAAGATACAACATACCAGAATATCTGGGACACAGCTAAGGCAGTGTTAAGAGGGAAATTCATAGCACTAAATGCCCACATCAAAAAGTCAGAAAGATCTCAAATTAACAATCTAACATCACAACGGAAAGAATTAGAGAAGTAAGAACAAATCAACTGCAAAGATAGCAGAAGACAAAACATAACCAAAATCAGAGCTGAAATGAAGGAGACAGAGACAAGAAAAACCATTCAAAAGATAAACAAATCCAGAAATGGATTTTTTTTTTTTTAAATTAACAAGATAGATAAGCTACTAGCTAGGCTAATAGAGAGAAAATCCAAATACACACAATTAGAAATGATGAAGGGACTCATCATTACCACTGACTCCAAAGAAGTAAAGATAACCAATAGAAACTACTACAGAAACCTCTATGCACACAAACTAGAAAACCTAAAAGAGATGGATAAATTCCTGGACACACACACCCTCCCAAGACTGAATCGGAAAGAAATTGATTCCCTGAATATACCAATAATGAGCTCCAAAACTGAATCAGTAATAAATTAGGCTCCCAACTAAAAAAAGGCCAGGACCTGATGGATTCACAGCTGAATTCTACCAGATGTACAAAGAAGAGCTGGTACCATTCCTATAGAAACTATTCCAAAAAACTGAGGAGGAAGGACTCCTCCCAAACTCATTCTATGAGGCCAGCATCATCCTGATACCAAAACCTGGCAGAGCCACAACAACAAAAAAACCTCAGGCTAATATCCTTGATTAACAGTGATGCAAAAACTACAAAATATTTGGAAAACTGAATACAGCAGCATATCAAAAAGCTAATCCACCTCAATCAAGTATTCTTCATCCCCAGGTAGCAAGGTTGGTACAACATACGCAAATTAACAGATGTGATTCTTCACATAAACAGAACTAAAGACAAAAACTGCATGATTACCTGAATAGACACAGAAAAAGCTTTCAATAAAATTCAACACCACTTTATGTAAAAAGAAAAAAAAAACTCTCAACAAACTAGGTATTCCCTTTGAAAATCGGCACAAGACAAGGATGCCCTTTCTCACCACTTCTATTCAACACAGTTTATTCAACACAGTATTGAAAGTCCTAGCTGAAGCAATTAGGCAAGAGAAAGAAAGAAAGGGCATTCAAATAAAAAGAGAGAAAGCTAAACTGTCCCTGTTTGCAGTTGACATGATTATATATCTAGAAAACCCCATAGTTTTGGCTCAAAGCTCCTTTAGCTGGTAAACAACTTCAGCAAAGTTTCAGGATACAAATCAATGTACAAAAATCACTAGCATTCCTATACTCTAACAACAGCCAAGCCGAGAGTCAAATCAGAAAGGCAATCCCATTCACAACTGCCACAAAAAGAACAAAATACCTAGGAATACAGCCAACCAGGGAGGTGAAAGAGCTCTACGACAAGAATTACAAAACTCAAATAAAGAAATCAGAGAAGACACAAACAAGTAGAAAAACATCCCATGCTCACGGATAGGAAGAATCAGTATCATTTAAATGGCCATATTGCTGAAAGTAATTTACAGATTCAATGCTATTCCTATCAAATTAACAATGACATTCTTCAAGGAACTAGATAAAACTATTTTAAAATTCATACAAAATGAAAAAGAGCCTGAATAGCCAAGGTAATCCTAAGCAAAAAGAACAAAACTGGAGGCATCACACTACCTGACTTCTAACTATACTATAGGGCTAGAGTAACCAAAACAGCATG